GCCAGTAATAAAAAGATTAAATAAAATTGGCCCCAAAACTGATCCCTGAGGAACTCCGCTAGTAACCTTCCTCCAACCTGATAGTTCACCTTTCAGTATGATCCGCTGTAGTCTCCCCTTTAACCAGTTGCTTATCCACCTCTCAATTTTCATATTGATCCCCATCTTTTCCAATTTAACCAATAATTCCCCATGTGGTACTGTATCAAATGCCTTACTAAAATCGAGGTAGATTAGATCCACTGCATTTCCTTTATCTAAAAAATCTGTTACTTTCTCAAAAAAGGAGATCGGGTTGGTTTGGCATGATCTACCTTTTGTAAAACCATGTTGTAATTTGTCCCAATTGCCATTAACCTCAATGTCCCTAACTACTTTCTCCTTCAAAATTTTTTCCAAGATCTTGCATACTACAGATGTCAAACTAACAGGCCTATTGTTACCCGGGTCACTTTTTTTCCTTTCTTAAAAATATGAACTATATTAGCAATTCTCCAGTCAAATGGTACAACCCCTGAGTTTAGAGATTTATTAAAAAATTTTGCTAATCGGCTTGCAATTTCATGTGTCAGTTCCTTTAATATTCTTGGATGAAGATTATCTGGGGCCCCCCGATTTACTCCCATTAAGCTGTTCAAGTTTGGCTTTTACCTCGGATATGGTAATATCTACCTCCATATCCTTAGTCCCATTTGTTATGTTACCCATATCCTTAAGCTCTTCATTAGCCTCATTAAAGACTAAAGCAAAGTATTTGTTTAGATATTGGGCCATGCCTAGATTATCCTTAACCTCCACTCCATCCTTAGTAATTAGCGGTCCCATTTCTTCTTTTTTTGTTACTTTTCTTATTTATATGGCTATGAAACCTTTTACTATTGGTTTTAATTCCTTTTGCAAGGTCCAACTCTACATGACTTTTAGCCTTTCTCATTTTGTCCCTACATGCTCTAACCTCAATAATGTAGCTTTCTTTGCTGGTCCCTCCCATCTTCCACTCCTTATACGCTTTCTGCTTTTTCTTAATCACCTCTCTGAGGTGCTTGCTCATCCAGCTTGGTCTAAAACACCTGCCTATAAATGGCAGGGCTTTGGGATGGATACTGCCGGGGAAATCTTCCAAGGAGCAGTGGAGACAAGAATCTGCAGGAGCCCAGTAGTGCGGTACAGAGGCTTGTGCAGGTCTCAGATCAACAAGTTGTCACGGCTGAAGGTCTTGCTCATGACACAGACAGGGAAACCTAATGGATCAAGTGGGGACTCTGCAAAGAAACCTCAAGAAGTTTCTTGCCTCCTAGAGATTTTTTTTCTGCATAAGATAGCAATCTAGACCCAAATATTATTGTGCTCCAGACGTAAAGGGAGTAACTGTCTAGTGCATACTTTCGACATCTGCTATTTTAACTAGTATTTTCATTCCATGCTCAGATAATAGCTGCTGAAAGAGACGCCAACATGCCACCAATAGCCCACTTTGAACTCAGCTCGCCAAACCGAAATTCGAAAAATCTCGAAGGGTCAGCATGACTCTGGAGTGACGTATGCACTGAAATGGTTAGAAAGCTGACACTGACTTTTCAGGGATCCGCACAATGAATACTAAAGAAACCCCTGGAGTTCCTGCCCAAAGACAGCACTTCTCCCGATCATGTACGAGAGCTTCTTCAGATGACTTGGGAACTTACTCGCATGCACCTATTAGAGTTCCTGCAACTTTAACCAGGACAGTCATAAAACAAAGCTCAGACTGAAGACAAAAGGACTGGAAAGAGGGGGGAGGGGAGAGGGGAGTAGTATTAAAGGCTATTTTTAAACACCCACAAATTCTCATTAAATCATTTTCTGTAAGCCCACAAAAGGCAGGACATTGGCAGTTGGATCCTCCATCCTCCTCACACCTTCAGTCCAAGTGTCATGTAGAATACTGAATCCAGCCCTGCTCCCTGGAGTAAATAGGCGTTTTCCCCCAAAGACTGCAATGGCAGCGAGCGCAGATCCTTTATGTAGCACAGGCCCTGTAGCACGTAGGTACACTGGCGCAAATGAAGCCTGACTCTGGAAGCCCCTTCTCCCAGCTTTTCTAAATCTAATTCTGAACCTTAATATAATTTAAAATGTTGCCCTGTGCTGAGTTCCCCTCGGGGCACAGTTCCAGGTTTTGGGCAGTGAAACAGAGACATCGGTCGGGAACCGCGGTGGGTTATTTTCTAGACTGAAATCCCAACTGCAATTGAAACCCCTGGTATAGCAGGGAGGAGTAGATGAATGCTAGCCAGGGGAGGGAATGGCCACTCCAAGTTTGCTTAGGCCTGATCATCTGAAGTCAAAGAGACTGGTAGCAGCTCCCCTTTTGCCATTGTAACCACCACCAGATGGATTTGAACCTGGGACCTCTGGAACTGAGTATAGGAACCTCTGCCCCCTGAGCTAAAAGCCAGCTGGCTCCCAGCCTGTGCTGTAGAAGTCTCATGATCTTAGCTGTTGCTGTGGTCTAAGTACACTTGCATTGCTCAGTAACCACACTAGGTGTGTGGGTTATATACATCCCCTAGGTGAGGAAGTGCATCCTGAGCTTCCGAGACCCAGTTGAGATCCTGGACAAGCTCCCACTTGTAACTACCACCAAACAGATTTGAACCTGGGACCTCTGGAGCTGAGTATAGGCACCTCTACCCTCTGAGCTAAAAGCCAGCTGCCTCCCAGCTCATGCTGTAGAGGTCTTTTAATCTTAGCTGTTGCTGTGGTCTAGGTACCACTTGCATTGCTCAGTAACCAGACTAGGTGCGTGGGTTACACCATCACCACAGGAGCCCTGATAAGGAGCCAATAGTTACATAGCATCCTTCATCAGCAGGCATGCCAAAGCATCTAACAAACGAGTCAGGAATCTCCCTGCCCCACTGAAAAACTGCCACCAGTGGGTGAAAGGGGACATCTGTTTCCCAGAGCACAGCACCCCCCGCCACAATCCAGTTTTGGGCTGGAAAGGAAGACACTCATGGGAAATTCGCGGAAGGCAAAGTCTAAATAATCCAGATTGGGGCAATGGGATCTTTAATGCCCAAGAAAGAGTAAGACCTTTGTTCTACTGATTATGCAACAGGCTGGCATTAAATCCCTGTTCCCCCCCCCCCAAGATCTAAAGTCAAGTGGTGTGGTCAGCAGAGTAGTTCTGACAACCCTGCACAAGCAACTAAATTTTGGGGCTTCTGTACAGTCCTTCAGTATCCTTTCTTTTACTCCGATCCCTGGTGGTTTCCTAACTGAGAAGGGGCAATTTACCTTGTGGAGCCAGTGTAGGTTCATTTGCTGTCCCACAGCTATGTGGCATAGTGCTAAAATCTGAAAGGATAATCAAAAGAGAAGCCAGTCAGAGATTGGAATGAATGAGTCATAAGTATTCATTCAGCATGCAGAGAAAATGCACCTTAATGAAGAGATCGCTTAATGTCCTATAATAGGATGGGCCTGGCAGGAAGGTTTAAGGCAGTGGCAGCTGTGCAGAAGTTTCCTCTCTACAGGAATAATCTAATCAATGGACTTTTATCCCCCGTAAGAGGGAAACTCCTGAAGAGCCATTGTGTTACTGCACAGGCTCATGGAGCTGGTACCAGGTATTCTCTGCACTGCGTCAAGCAAGAACTTACTGCCTGCTCATGCATCAGCTTCAAGATACTGGCCCCAGCAACCCAGGCAGCAGTGAGGCAGAACCTGGTGCTGCCAGAACAGACAGGACTGAACCATCATGAATATGAGACACCCGAGACATCTGTTTTTCAGGAGGTCAACTGCAGTGTGAATACGTGTGTTGCAATTTCAGCAAGCTATGCAGCCAGTAGCAATGATGGAGGAACCCCGTAGCTGTTATCCCAAGCTCAAAGGATTTTTGATGTTGCATTTACTCTGGACTGTTTAAGGGTGGGAGCACGTGAGAAGCACACTATGCAGAACTAAGCCCTTCCCAAAGCGAAGATTTCACAGACCCCTTTGCACAGATGTTCATGCTGGTTTTCTACACAAGCTTTCACAGAAGGATTGTCTCTTACATACCAATAATGTTGTGATATATGTAAAGCCAGCAGCAGCCGTTACAAGTATTGGAATAGACCAGTCACTCCAATATCCCATTCGGTTATAGAAATACCTGGAAGACATGTATGAAAACAAAGATTAGGGAATGATCCAACAGCACAGCAACTCTGCTTGATTAAACAAGGCTAAGTGATAGAGCCTTTCCCTCCTCTCCCAGATCAAATAGGAGATGAAACAAACAATTAATTTACCCCCCCCAAAACTCCACGTCCTAACATTTGTTCCTGATCCATCCAAAAGTTGCCCAATCCCAATAAATCCCAATACTGTTATGGGGGAATATACACAAGGGTTTGAGTTTTTTAAAATGATTCCATATAAACATCCAAAAGAAAGAAAAATATCCCAGCTGGAATTTTCATTCTTCTGTGAACAGCAGCTTCAGGTCAGTTGCTGGCATTCACAGACTGGCCACTTCACTAATCCAACAATATACAAAGAATATCAAAAGTGAAAGAAAAGAAGGAAAATAAGACTGAAGCCATCCACAATCCACTATTCAAGTCCTGGGTTCCTAGTAGAGGGAGAAGGGGGAATGTGTTGGTAATATAAATTGCATCTCATCTACATTTCAGACTCAGGCTATAAAAAATGGAAGGTGTCAACCAACTTTTCCAAAACCAGCCTTTTAGAGTATGTCTACACAGCAATTAAACATCCATGGATGGCCCAGATCAGTTGGCTTATGCCAGGTCTACACTAGACCTGAAAGGTCAGGTTAAGGTATGCAATTCCAGCTATGTAAAATATGTAGTTCATGAAGTCTAAAATATGTAGTTGGAGTTGGCTTACCTTAAGCCAAACTTGGTGCCGACTTCATGAAGTCACAAGGAGTAAGGGAAGCCCAATGTGGAGTACCAGTGCTGACCGGAGCTGCCTCAGCATTTGATTTAGTAGGTCTTAATTAGACCTGCTAAATCAAGCACCAGAAGATCAATCTCCAGCATGGCAAGTGAAGATGTGGCTAGCACAGCTTCAGCCACAAGGCCATAAAATTGCTGTGCAGACTTTCAGGCTTGGGCCCTGATCCCAAATGTCTACACATCCATTTCACAGCTCCACGGCCCAAATCATCTAGCTGAATGTGTTTAACTGCTACGGAGACAGCCTGCGTGACTGCTTCACGAGCTGACCTTGGGTAAGTGATAATTTCTGTACTTCTTAGTCTTTAGTGAAAGTCTTCTCACTAGAAAGAAAAATAATGTTCTGGAGAAGAAGTGATCAGACCAGATTGCACGTGGGAGATTTAGTGTTGTAGAAAGTGCCAGATAGAGAGTGCAGGAGGCTGAACGCTCTATTTATGGGCAGAACAGTTTCTGCAATAGGAAGCAGGTATGTAGACTTCCCCCCCACCATTGATATGGCGCAACATAGACCTGCACAGCCCACTTGGAGAAACGAAAAAATACCTCAGTCCCTATGACCCACTTTGAGTTTGAGAACAAGAGGGTTAACCAGGAGGGTGATTTTTAGAGACAAAGAAAACTGTGCAGTAGAAACTAGAACGAGGCCACCAACTCATTGCACAAAGGTCGAGCAGCCCACTGACAGGAGTAATTTTCAAGTGCTACAGAGCTTGGCTGAGAATTGAATGAGCAAAAACCCTCACGTCCCTTAAAGACAAGAAAATGCATAAGAACACCCTTCAAAACAAGGTTATACTGAAGGTATTGTATCTGTAACCCTTGCCTCCCACACCTCCCACCTTGTTCCTCTGGTTCAGTTTTCAGTG